CAAATTAACCTAACTTAACAGTTAAATTCATGATATGAATCAAGGTTGTTAAAATCATGATTTTGACACGATATGAAAAATGCAAATCAAACTTGGATCATAAAATCATAAGGAATTTCAAAATACATTAAAAAAATTCATGTTTCAAATAAAAATTCATAGCTCCTTAAAATATATGCTTCAAATAAAAATTCATATATAGTTCAAGAACCTTAAAATACATGGTTCAAATAAAAATCCATACATAATATAAATAACTTTTCATTAGCTTATAATTAACAAACTTAAAACAAATAATATACTGGTGTGTCATGTAAACTAAAACCAGCTTTATTGCCTTCATCTTCCTTATTATTCCTTAAACATTCATTAATATCATTAGCATCAAAAGGATTATTAATGTCACTACTAGTGTCAACACTAATATTATGAGCATTAGTATTACTACTAGTACCAACACCAATATCATTAATTTGAATCTCCAAATCATTTTTAGTACCTTGACTCTCTATTTCAACATCATTAGGAATTTCTTCTTCATCACTTTTATTTTCATTACTATTTTTTCTTCGTGTTGCGCTATTAATAGCACCAAGCAAATCAATATTTGAATGTTTTTCTCCCTCAATTATCCAATCATCATCAAATGAAAGATCATCTCCCACACTAAAATTATCGGTTTGTTTTTTTACTTGATTATTACTCAATTTCAGATTGCACATTACAAATACCAAGTCATTCATTTTTTTTTAGTGCAAATGATTTCTTTGTTTTGTATAAACCTATATAAACAATTCAAATTTGTAAGATTTTTATCAAATATTTCAACATTTAAAACAATAAAATAAAAAAAACTCACCATTTCAAATGCATTTTAGTTACGCTCACATCTAGATGAAGTACAAGTCAAGCTTAGAACTCGAATTGCAACCTTTGTAATTCTGGACATTTATTCCCATAAGAATCCCACCATTGAGCTGGAGTTTTTTTTATCTCTTGCTATCTTGGCAGCCTCAATGCAAACAACCCTTTTGCATCCTTGAATGATTTAAGTTGCAAGTTAATTTTGCACCTTTTACTTGCATTAGATACCATCCTTTCAAAGCATTGATATAATCCAATTTTAATATTGGCATTAACCTTAAAATTAAGATTATAATGATAATGAGGATTCAAATAATAAGTTGTTGCATGTATGAGTCTGTAGAGTTGAAGTTCCCATCTTGGATCAATAATATTCCATAAAGATATATAACTATATTAAAAAAACAATAAAAATATCATTACACTCTAAGAATATCTCAATTGAAAGTATTTCTAAAGACATTCATATTAATAAATGATAACATTTGAAATAAAAATTAGCAAGATATGTATTTTTTTTCACCGAACCAAAATTTACTTGTATCTTCTCTTTTGCTTCATTCATTGTTTTATATATAAAACCCATAGTTGGTTTCTCATAAGAATCAACTAATCAAATAACTTTAATTAGAAGATATGCTCTCATAATACATATAGTAACATCATGCCAAAACCTGTTGTCCAAAACACAATCTTGAATTCGTTTCCCTTCTTCTATTGTTGTGAACCTACATGAATTCCACTATTTGGAAGTAAACATAGTCATTAACTATATTTTATGATCATTCAAATATCCTAAAATCAAATATACAGTAGCAAACCGAGTGGCAACAAACTTAATCAAATTCCTTCCTTTCATAATAGTTACTTGATGAACCTCTAACTTCTTCTCAAAATCCTCTAATATTAAGTCAATACAATGAGCAACACATGGTGTCCAAAATAAACTCTTTCTTTTTTTCATCAATAATTGTTTTGCTGCCTTATAATTTGCAGCATTATCGGTGACTACTGGGACAATATTTTCCTTCCCAATCCTCTCTATAATGGCATTTAACATCTTAAATACAGCAGCCTTGGACATATTAAAAGTATCCACCGATGACAAAAAAAAACTGTCATTTTAGGACTATTAACCAACAAGTTAAAAATACATCTTTTATTATCTGTCCATCTATCAGACAATATTGAACAACCAGTTTTTTTTTCATTCTAACTTATTCTCCTTAAGCATATTCATTGTTTAATCCACTTATTGATTCAAATACTTCTCTTTAATATCATGGTAGGATGGAGACTTGAAACCTAACCCATGCTTTGCAACTAATTCAAGTGCCTTAAGAAACTTAGGGTTTTTTACACAATTAAATAGAATTACACTAGTGTAAAAAAACCTTGTAATTTTTCGGCATGCTACTTCTCTAATATCCTTTTTTAGTAATTGATTTAGGTTCATTTGTGTACTTCCACTACCACTAGCTACTCTCTTTCATTTGTCCTTGGAGCTAATTTCCTTTATTTCATCATCATCAACATTTACACTATATTGATAGACCTTTCTTTTATTTTCAGTTGCTTCTAAATTTTTCACCAAAACACCTAAAATCATCAACTTAACATTTTCTGGTACTTGTTGATATGGCTCAACATTCTTATGAGTGCAAGACAAATGTTGTTTAAAACAAAAAATACCTCTACTGATAATTTTTTGACAATACTTACATTGAACTTTTCTAGAATTCTTATCAATATCTATACTATGTTGCCATCCCACATTAAGCCTATTACCAGATGAATTTTTTCTAGGTGTCATAAGTTCAATAATTCAAGAATCAATTCAAATCAGCCCTATAATCAATCCAAAAATTTTATGATTGTAATTAAATTTTTGTTAAAAAAGAAATACCATAATACATAATAGCCCAACTTTTATATTATTATCCAATCAAAAAACCTAAGATAAATGATTTTAGTACACGCTACAAAAAAATAATAGCCAACAACCCATCTTCTAACATTGAGCTATAAACACACACAAACATTAAACTTTGAATCTAAAATTCAAAGGCAAAATCTCAATAATAGACTGTAAAGATCAAAGCACCATGACAGGTTACAAACTTACAACCCTTTATAACTCAGTAAAGGCAGCATAAAAACAATCACACATCACTCTAAATTAGACTCACGCTCATGATAGGTTACAACTTACAACCCAAATCCATTCATCACAAGTTTAAATCCAGTTAACTTGCAGCAGCAGTAGCAGTACTCTAAATTACAATAAATCCAAATCTAGGGTAAGAAAAAACTCAATAATAGACAAAGTCACAGAAACCTTGAATCAAAATCTCAATCTTTAACATCATTAAACTGTAAAGATTAGAGCACCTAAAGGTCCTAAACAACAGTCACGAAAAAATTACAAATAGGGTAAGAAACGGATATAGTAAGAAACTAAGAATCTTACCTTTGTTCTGAGTAGTGAGCACTAAGCGGATCAGTATTGCAGTCAAACTTAGAGCCTGCGAATCCAATCAAACTAATATTAGCATCAAAGTAAGAAACGGACAGGGAAAAAAAGCCCCCCCAGCCGCTAGTAGTTACCAATAGAGAAGAGAGAACCAGTGAAGTTTTGTAGGAGGTGAAACAAGATAAACAGAGTAACTTACATAGCAGAGACTGGGGAGACGTCGTTGTTGTTAGGTGGACTCTGGTTCTCACGGTGGCTGGTGAAAAGAACGTTGTCGATGATGGAAAACTAAAAAAGATGAGGGGCGAGGGCTGTTGTGGAGTATCGGTGGATGGTGGTTGATTATTGGACCGTGAAATTGTGGACGGTTGAGAGAAAAGGATTAAGAGACTAAATCAATGAGGAATCCTTAGTGATGATTTAGAATTTTAGGATTTCAATTTAGGGATTTTTTTTGTTCTAAACATGAATGGTGAAATGTGAAGAGAAGACTGCATATATAATTGATGATTCGATGAATGTGTATTTTTTCTGTTAAAGCCAATAGGTGGTTGACACCTGTTAGCAATATTGCATTTTTATTTTCTGCGGGTAAACTCATTTAATCGGTGGTGAAATTATGATTTTATACGGTTTCATTTAATTTTAACAATTTTATCCTATTTTAACTTGATTTTACCCATTTTCGAGTATTACAAACGATTTAGCACGTAAAACCTATATCAACTTATAAAAATATATAATTTTATGAGTTAAATTGTAATTTTAACAACTTTGACATGGATCATAGATATGACCACAATGCCCTAACCTTGTTTGCCAAAAATCTCTTTATTTCCTCTTCATTTATTCTCTCTCGGGTTTGACCTTTATTTGTCTTTAAGTGGGATAAAATTCGAGGCCAGACAAAAGAGTTAGTAGAGAATCAAATACTAAATTGAAAAAAAAAGTGCTTGAGCTTGACAGGATGAAACTCGAGACTCGATTAAACAATTATTATAGAATCAAGGATTAAATCGAATGAAATGGGAAAACATTATCTGGCGCTTATTGCTCATCCCAACCTCCACCAGCAAGCAGCATCGGAGTGAATCGTAACGTTTTGATCTAGGGGTAAGGACTCATCAAGAGACACGTGCCTGCGTGTGAGAGGAACTGCAATATTGGAAAGGTGTGTGTGACCTCCTTTACATTCTGAAGATGGCCTCCTTAGTGTCTCTGGAATCCTATCAGTAGAGGCTTTCTCCCATGGTGATGCGGGAGTCTATGGAGCTCTAGTGTGGCTTTAATGACCAATTCTTTTTCTTATCTTTTCTCTCCTACCTTCAGATTTTTCACCTGTTTTTTTTTCCTACCTTTCAGGGACAAAAATGACTACATCATTTCATAATTTTGAATCGTAGTCCCTTTTAGTTTTAATCTTTCGAAAAACAAAAAATCTGAACAATCTTTCATAAAATTGAGCACTGGTTTAATGATAATTTATTTGTCTATGTGGAAAACCCCATATCATGCTTAGGGGAGAAAACTATTAATGTCAATCTCAAATAAAGTAAGTGTGGAAGGATTACATAAAAAGAAAGTACAAGGATGAAAAAAGGTAAATTGGATGAGTTACAACAATTAAAACAATCAATTATCCAACTTCTGTACTGCTTTTCATAATTATAATTATACGTATAACACCGATATTATATTACAATTATAAATGTAATTGAAATATAATATTGGTGATGGAGTATTGAAAGGATAAGGGATAGTGCTCCGATCAGAGATGGTTGTAATGTCAAAGAGGTGGGTTCAGGCAGGCAACAAAAGGAAGAGGTGGGTTCAGGCAACAAAAGGAAGAGGCTGTTGGTACGTAATGCGAGTGATGTGATTTGTTTTGAAAGTAAACGCATATGAGCCTGCTTGGTGGTTCAATTCCACTGACCGGCATGTTTCAGCTTTTTAGTTATTGGGTGGGGTTTTATTAATGTGAAATTTCACCCTCACCTTGAATGTGACAGAATTCTAAAACCTCAATTCTTCGCTTTTACCCTGAAAATGGGGAAGAATAATGACATGACGAGCACTGACGGAATGCTCACATACAAAAAAAAAGAGAAATCATAAAATTTATTAGGAGCATGCCTATACTAAATGCTGTTGCTCATCACCGTCATAGTTTGAGTTGTAATCTTCTTCGTCGTCGTCATCATCGTCAGAATCCTGATGAGCAAAAACGAATTAAAATGTTCTTGTTAGCTCGCAAAGATGTTATTAATTGAAGAGCTCTTGATGTCGTATCTTCTATGGTCATTGATGTTTACAGGAATAAATTTGCTCGCTTCAAATTGCAAATAGAAGGTTTCTAATCTTTGCCGTTCAGATTTTATACAGAACTTTGTCCATTGTTATAAAGGGTGCTCACCTGATATTGATACCGAATGCTCTTATGAATTGCTGCAAGTGTCCGAAAAACAACATACATTGGGAATAGAATTCCACAAGCTCTCAAGACAAGCATCTGCAAAATTCACCAGGAAGAGAATCAATTTGGAAAGGATACAGATAGGTTGAACTGTGAAGTATGAACAGCCACCATTAGGGAATCAAATGCTCACAGTAGCAAGTGTAAATGGGTAGTCCTCTGTTCCGCCGGTGATTGCAGCGAAAAGATGTCTCGAAAGTACAAGGGCTGTAATCTGCAGAAAAAAATCATGAAGGAACAGTCCATCAATAAACTCGAGCTTTTATTGCATGGCCGTGGGGGTTTCGGCCCACATTATTGCTACTAAACAATTGTGCTCCACTTTCAATTTGACTGATTCTAGGGCAGCTTGAATGAATCAGTAACTTAGCTAAGCGATCCCACCGAATTTTTAAATGTTACAAAATATTCCGGTGAACCGAAGTTCCCCATTACACCAGGCCATAGCTAAACTAACATTTCCTCTTTTTTCTTTTATCACGATCTTCTTAAACTAAGCATTAATAAATGTACTTTCAAGCATCGTATAATGAACAAGGACCTACTGTTATAGCCAAATACCAGAAGCAAGAAGACCGAGAGTCAGCTGTTGTTCTTTCAGATGTGGCTTCCATTTCTTGGTTTTCCGGATCATGTTCTCTTCTTGGAATTTCCAAACTATCTCTGCCACAATCACTCATGATTGTACTACATTACTAGATGACATATGCATGACAGCTCCAAAAAAGAAAGGCTAAAGACTTGAAAATGTCAAAAAGTAGTCATAGTTCATGGACCAAGCAGCAAACAGCTGTGACCAATTTGCTTGGTGTTTTCTTATATCAGGAGGAAGCTTGCAAATAAAGGGAACGCAAGTATTCTAAACTTGCACATGCAGTTGGAGGATAATACTGCCAGGCGTTTTTTTTTTTTTATCTACAATTTATGAAAATTATTGAATGGAAATATGAAGGTAGGTTACCTAATCGTCATTGCCTCAATCAGCTCACACTTTTTTGAAGGTGCTGTGTATCCTGGTTCATAATTCTGGAAAAAAAAATTCAAAATTCAAAAACAATTAATTATCTAATATATCTTTGAAATTAAGATTAAACCCATTGAAGACCCCATTACGAATTTCATCCAAAAAAATTGTAGAAAGCTTTCCTTTTTCCTTCCAATACAGTAAGTTCTGTGTTCATGGGCTATAACTAGAGAATCTACAGTGGATATCGTTAGAAATAGGCCGGCATAATGACATACATTATGAGAGCGGATAAAGACAAGATTGCAGGCTAGAAAATTCGAAGAAAACCGAAACAGATGTTTTCAAAGTTTGAAAAACAGATAAGTAAAACAAAGAACAAATACTTGATTCATATAATCAAAGTATCTGCAACACAGCTAACCGGAAAAATGAAACAATAAGACAAACCATGAAAACAAAACAAATAAGAGAGCAGAGGAACTCCTGAGAGGCTGTTAGAAATTGATTTTTAAAATGTATTTTTATTTTTTAATTCATTTTTAACATGCAGGCGCAGCTCCAAACATGCCTTAACAGATAAATCGTTCAAGTTTCAAAAAACCTGGAGACATATTTCACAATTTGTGTTTCCCTTCTCGTGACACCATCTCTGTATGCACTCTCTATGTGCAAACTGAAACAGAGACCCAAAAAAAGAAGTCATGAACAGAAGATGAAAATCAAAACTAAAGGTACTCACAAGAAAAGGTATTCTTGATTTTTTTAGCTTACCTTGACAGTTCCAGAGCAAGCACAAGGAGCTTCCAAGCTTTTACAGCTTTCAAATTCTGCTTCATGGCAAATTCTACAGTGTGGTATTGCACAACTAGTTCGCAAACCATCCACAAACAGTACAATATCTCCCATTTTTGTGTAAGTTTCCCTTTATTTCCTTTCTTCTTTCCTTCTTCCTTTCTAGTTTTTTTTATTTTTTTATTTTTAAAAAAATTCTCTCTGGTTTCCTCTCTGTTTTTCGGAACTTCTTGTTTTTTTCCCCTCTCTGTCTTCCTGGCCTCCATCGACTTTAAACAAGGAATTGGGCTTCAAATCCCAAAACTACCCTTATTTAAATTAAATTATTTAAAACAACAAAAAACACAGCATTGCACAGCTAGCCTGCAAATCATCAACAAACAATACAGCATCTCCCATTTTTGTGTGATTTTGCCTTTATTTCCTCCCTTCCTTCTTTCCTTTCTATTTTTTTTTTAAAAATAAAAATTCTCTCTGGTTTCTTCTCTGTTTTTCGAAACTTCTTGTTTTTTTGCCCTCTCTGTCTTCTTGGACTCACTCGACTTCAAAGAAGGGATTGGACTTCAAATTTCAAAACTACCCTTATTAAAATTAAATAAAAACTCAAAATAAAAATTAAATTATTAAAATAACAAAAAATAATAGTGTTCCACTATGCATCACACTGTGACATATACGGTTTGATGAGGCTAGCTTTTTTTTAATATCATCCCACTTGTATTCGAAGTTTAAATTTTGATTATAAATTTTATTTATATCATATTTTAGTTTCCAATGCATTAAAGAGAAAGAAGTACTGAGAAGAGAGAAAGCTTTCAACTTGTCATAAAAAAAAGTATAATTTTGATGTTAATAAGTTTATTTTGAAGAAAAAAGTTTAATTTAGTTTAGGTCTTAATATAAGGAAAAAGAAAGTAGATTGAAATTAAAAAATATATTTTAGTTTGATGTTGAATTATTATACTGATTATAATTTATTGCCTAGTTGAAAACAAAGTTATAAAGATTCATATTATGTGTTTTTGATAATTTTAGATAAAAATTAATTGAAATATAGTTTTTAAAATCAAATCCCCCATTGTTATTTATCAAAGGTAGAAAAACAATTCTTGCATTGAAAAATATATTGCCTTTCTAGATATACAACATGTCATTTGCTAGATCGACATGTCATTTGCTAGGCCAAGAGTATAGACTTGGCCTTGTAAGCCTACTCGCACATGAATTATTCTTTCAAATCCTGGCGCAGTTGGCTTGACTCACTTAGTTATTATTTAATTTTTTTATTTAATTATTTAATTATTTAATGTTTTAAAATAAGATAATTTTTGAATAATATAATTTCAATGATATTTTAAAAGTCATATAATAATATCATACTTTTCAAATAAGATTAAATAATTTTTTATAATATTAGAAGTTACTTTATGAATAATTATATATAAATTTAATATTCATATTTTTTAATTTCTTACAAATATTTAATGAATATGTATTATAACAAAAATTAAACGGTATAGAGAAATCATTGTAGTTTAAGAGATTTTTCACTGTGAATTATAATAGTAGTTTCATTTTTAATTTTTTATCTTTTTAAGAGTAATAAATATTTATTTGGCTTTCTTTCATAAGGGAAATCAAGTTTTCTTAATTTTTAAGTACAAGCAAATAATGCCTTTTGAATAAAAAAAGATAATAAAAAAAAGCTTTGCCTTTGCAGGTATTTTGATATTTTTGTGTAATTAAAAAAACCATGAAGGACATTTTAGTATTTTTATGTTGTATTTTTTATTTTTAAATCAAAAATTTGTTGGAGAGTGTTTCACACAACCAATAAGTGGGTGACATTTGTGTCATTTAGGAGACGCGTGAGACATTTTTCGGTAGCCAAATCTACCCATCCATTATATCACTAGATGCACAATCATGCTCTCTTTCACATAGAACAATGCATGTAGATATGTTATGGTTGGATTGTCATTGGTAATCAGTTGTTTGAGTTTTGCTTTCCTTTTCCTTTCTTGATAACTAAAGTACACGATTGTTCACTTCTTATTTGTTGTTTGCTTAGGTCTGTCATTGGTTGCCAGACCCATGCGCCTTAGATGTGGCAACCATATGTGATGCCAGACCTGGACGTGTGGGTATGGTAGACATGGGCAGATAGGCTTGCAGTTCAGGTGCCTAGGTATTGTATGACTACCAAACTCAAGGTGCTTAGGTTTAGCATGGTCGCCTGATCCAATTCGCTGAGATCTAATAAGGTTGTCAGGCCTAACTACTGTGGCTCAAATATGGTTGTAAGACCTAAGTACTTTGAGTGTATAATAGTGGTGGTGGTGGTGATTGTTGTTATTAGTATCATCCAAAAATTATTTATAAACAAAGTATAAATAATTTATAAAAAATAAATTATCATAAAAATCTAATTTAACATTTTAGATATAAAAATTTAAATCATATCTTTCTATTAAAAAAATTTATTTTTTTAATTTATGAATTTGTTATTCCTTCAATAGAAATTATATCTTTTATTAGTATTATTATTATTATCACCATCACCACCATTATTATGATTATGACTACTAATAATATTATCATTATCACTACTATTAATACTACTATCACTATCACTACTACTGTTACTACTACCACTACCACTAATGACTACCACCATCACCATTACTATAATTATTATTATTATCACCACCACCACTACTACTGTTACTACTACCACTATCACTAATGATTATCACAACCACAACTATTATAATTATTATTATTATCATCACCACCACCACTACTATAATTATTATTATTACTACCACCACCACTACTACTATAATTACTACTATTACCACCACCACCACCATCACCATTACTACTATAATTACTACTATTATCACCACCACCACTACTATTAACATTATCACTACCACCACCAACACTGTCATCACTATTACCACCAGTACCACTAACTACTATAATTACGACTACCACCACCACAATTATCACTACCACCACTATTACTATTATCACTATCACTATGACTATTAAAACTACTATTACTATTCCTATTACTAGCATTACGACTACCACTACTACCACTACTACTATAACAATAACAAAAACGATTATTACTATAATTACTACTACTACTATTACTATTACTATTACTATTGTTATTATTATGATTATTCAAGTAAACTTGGACAAAACATGTTTGTTAGACTCAAGTAACGTGAATCTAAAAATTACTTATAAACAAATTATAATTCATTTATAAACAACAAATCATTACAAAAATCTAATTTAATATTTAGATCTAAAAATTCAAATTATATCTTTCCATTAAAATAGTTTATTTTTTATGTTTATAAAATTGTTTTTTCTTCAATAGAAATTCTATATGTTGTTTTTTCAATACAAACAATATAATTGAACTACCACTACGACTACTACCATTACTGCTACTGCTATCATTACCATTACCACTACCACTAAAACTACCACTAAAGACTACCACCACCACCACCACTATTATTTTTATTATTATGATTATTTAAGTAAACTTGAGCAAAGCATGTTTGTCAGACCAAGTAACGTGAGTTTAAAAATTATTTATAAATAAAGTATAACTCATTTATAGACAATAAATCATTATAAAAATCTAATTTAATATTTTAGATCTAAAAATTCAAATTATATCTTTCCATTGAAATAGTTTATTTTTTTATGTTTATAAAATTATTTTTCCTTCAATAGAAATTCTATACGTTGTTCTTTCAATACAAACAGTACAATTGAAATAGTTCGATTGTATTGTTTGCATTATTATTATTATTATTATTCAAGTAAACTTGACTCAGACATGTTTGACAACTCAAGTAACGTTGATCTATAAATTATTTATAAACTGAGTATAAATAATTTATAAATAACAAATCATCACAAAAATATAATTTAACTTTTTAAATCTAAATGGTTTATTTTTTTATGTTTACGAATTTTTTATTTCTTTAATAAAAGTTATACATTCTGTTTTTTTTTCTCTCTCTTTTTTTAATTATCTTTTTAAAGTCAATACCTGAGACTAATATGACCTAAGTTGTATGCGTCTAGCAGCCATGCTTACCTAAGAACTTTAGGTTTGGTAGACATACCAGCTCTAAGAAACTCAAGTTTTATCTTTTAAAAAAAAAAAAACCTTATTTGCAATATAAATCTACATAGAAGGTTTGGACAAATATGATAAAAAGTAAAAAAAAAACTACATAAATGGTGTGATGAAACTAAATCATATAGTCTAGCATTGTTAAAAAAATATAAAATAATATTATTGTCAGTGAAAAATCATAAATGAGTAGCATTAAATAAATGTTTTTTTTTCAATGAGTTTGAGCAAAACAAATATAAAAAAAAAATACAAATCCATAAAGATAAAAAGAGAGAAGATAGAATTTCTAGTGAAGAAAAAACAAATTTATAAACATAAAAAATAAATTATTTTAATAGAAAAATATAATTTAAATTTTTAAATTTAAAATGTTAGATTAGATTTTTATGATGATTTGTTGTTTATAAATAATTTATGAACTTAGGTTTCTTTTAAGGATAGTTTAAATATTTTTAATAAAAAATAAAAATAATTTATAAAAAAATTTAATAAAATTTATGTTTATGATACTTTAATAATAGTTTAAATTTATTTTTATAAAAAAATAAAAAAAGAAATCACTTTTAGATTTTGGTGCGGAAAAAGTTCCTTTGAAACCTAAAGTTTTAGTTTATTTATACATTTGGTCCTTGTTGTTTTAGCAATTCATATTTCATTTTTAAACTTTATTTTTTGATGTTTTCTTTTCTGAATGTTAAGAGATGAGGAGAAGTCATCGGATAATATTAGAAAAAGAGAAAGTAATCAAATAATTATATTTTAGTCACTAAAAAAATTGATTTTTTTCTAAAAAATCATGTAGCAAGGCGATAATTCATCTTCCACCGTAGAGAATTAGTTATCTATTTAGAAAAAAAAAAAAAAAAATATTTTAAAAAAAAAAATTATCAAGCAAAGGTATGCCGAGGCTTTTTAATGGTTGACTACACACAAGAGGATACAAGAGGGCATGACTTTATTTTTTCAATTTCATTAATTTTTTTATTTAAATATTAATTACCATCCTTTATCTTATGTTTTAAAAAATAGTATATTTAATCCTTTTAAATTGTTATTAATCTTTTAAAATGTTTTATTAATTTCATAACACTTCGAAAAGATTAGTATCATTTGTTTGTAATTTTATATATAAATAAGTTGTATTTACATGACATTTTTATAAAAACAAAAATAGTTTGATATTGAAAACAATACTTAATCTCTAAGTTATAATAAATAAATAAAAAGAATAATAAGAGTAAAAACATTCTTTTACTTCTTCTTTTTTTGTTTTTACTAAAATTAGATTTAATATTTTTCTTAGCATATGAGTTTATTTTTTTTAAATTCATGTTATTAAAGATAAGCAGTATCCTTTTGTTTTCAATTAAAAAAATATAATATCCACACGATGCCAGGTGGCCTCCAGCTTGCTCAAGCAATCGCGGCCGATTTGGACTGACCTCCCCAATCAGAGAGCAAAGGAATCTTTCGTGGGGGGGATTTGCTAGAAACGAGTTTGATTGAAATTGAAGCAGCCTCCCTCCTGTATTATCGTCTTGATGAGCTCACTGAACACACCGAGCTCCATAGTAAGTTTTAATGGCCACAGACATCTCCATGGTCTGTGGATCAGCTTGCGATCGCGATGCTTTTGGTGTGCTGAGGCTCTACCTCGCTATACTAATAGCTATTATCCTCGATTTATCGTATAAAAAATTAACAAAATAAAAAATATATTTTATCACTTTCATATTAATTATTATTACACCTGGTTTAAGACTAATCAACCCAAAACTTCGTTTAGTTTTTTTAAATTAAAACAAAAATCGTTTCAGATAAACATTAAAAAAATATTAAAGTTTGATCTACCAAATTTGAGGGGCAAATTTGTAATCAATTGAAAATAAAATTACAAGTTTTTTTTAAAAGTTTATTAAAATAATAATTTTTATTATTTTTTAAGATTTATTTTTTATATCACTAGATTAAAACGGTATAAAAATACTAAAAAATTAATTTAAAATATATATATATATATATATATTTATAAAAACATAACGCCACCACAACAATAATAACTCCGTAGATAACCATGTCATGTTTGTCCATGTTAAGTCAATGGCTTTGGTCCTGTCAAAGGAATCTCCAGACAGAGTTCAAATGCAAAACAAGAAAGAAATCATTCAACTGAAAGAGGAAATATCATGTACGTAAGCTTGAAAAAGTAAATTTCCTAGGACCTTGTTTTAACTGTGCAAAGACGAAAGTGTTTTGTCGAGTATCGTGCTGGACTGGCCTCGAAGTCAAGGTGGCTCTTTAATGCCTATACTTTTATTAGCAGGTAGTCCTTTTCATTTCAAAAGCCTCATCCGGTTAATCTAATTACACAACCCACTGAACTCAAAACCAGCAAATCAAACCCAGGACTGCGTATACTGCCTATAAATAATACTACGGATTAGGCTTGTTTTGTTATCAACATTTTGAGGCCAGTATTTTTCCCAGAGCTGTGTTTATAAGCTTTATAAATCAGCTAGGAGTAAGAAAACCAGACTGTCGAGGTTACTTACAATGGAAGGAGTGAGTGTCGACAACAAGCACAAGATAGTGGTGGCGGTGGACGAGAGTGAGGAGAGCATGCATGCACTTTCATGGTGTCTGAGCAACCTTATTTCTCACAATTCCACCACCACGCTAGTCCTCCTCTATGTTAAACCTCCTCCAATTATCTACTCTTCCTTCGACATCGCAGGTATCCATTACTTCCTTGCTCTTTTAATTATATATCTCTTTTAATTATATCCCTGAAGGAAACTTTTGATTGTAGCGCACATATTTTCGGCTGATGTGATTGTTGCCATGGAAAAATATGGGACCGACTTGGTGAACTCAGTGATGAAACGAGCAGAAGCCGTCTTCAGGAACTTCAACGGAAATGTAAACCAAGCCTTTTCCTTTTGTATGCTAGTCTGTTTGCTTCCTTCCCTTCATGTCTGCTTAATGATGGAAGCTCTGCGCAGGTAAACGTGGAAAAAGTAATTGGGAGTGGAGAGGCACAGGATGTGATCTGTGATACAGTTGAGAAACTTAGACCTGACACTTTGGTCATGGGAAGCCATGGCTATGGTTTCTTGAAGAGGTAAAGATTCACTGGTTTATTGAACTCTTTCATCTAAATCGAAATGATTATTCATCTCCTATAGAACAGCAAGGCCTTATCCTCTAATTCATTGTTACAGGGCTATCCTCGGAAGTGTGAGTGAACATTGTGCCAAGCGTGTCAAGTGTCCAGTCGTGATCGTCAAGCACCCTCATGACAAGACTGCTCCCCCATCCAACTCTTCCCTAAAGCATGATGACGGATTCTAACTTTCTTCCAACAAAGCTAGAATATTGTGTGTATTACCACCAAAGACGGGGAGGAAGGCTCACAGAAACGATAAATCTACATTAGGATCAGCTTAGGGTTTGCTTGCATCATTTTATGCACTTAAAATGTGTTAATAAAAAAAAAGGTTTTGTTTGCTGCGCCTTGTCACAATTCAGAAGCTATTCATTTATTAGCAGTACTTACTCTAAGTTCTGTAAGTTCCCTGAATTGGGACAAGTTGGGTGTACTGCCGGTCGATATACACATGCTGACCTGTTTTACAAAAAGCCTTAACATATGCTTCATGTGAAGATATACTATAAAATCGCCAGCAGAAATCATTTACCACTAACAAAATAACCCCACAGAAAAAGCACCAGAAATTTTCTATATACTGAAATGAAAGAACAATCGATTCTATCCTAAATCCATGGTGGCAGATGCCAAGAAGGGAAGATCAACTGACAAAACACATCCCTGAATGCTCCTTAATTTAGCTGGAGAGAGTTAAAAACCAACCTATAGCACCTCACCAGAGACACAATAACCTGACCAGAAAGGTGATTCCTTTGTCCTCGAGCTCTTCAAGCTTCATGTGCAAGTGGTGCCACGATGAACCTTTTGGCTTTCCCCAGTTACTATGCGCGCTTCCAACATATTTGAGAAACTCCAGAAGGGAAGCTAAACATGATCCTAGCCTTATCCACCCCACCAGGCGGGAGGTGACCAAGAATTTCCATTTGACTGCTTGGTTTGCCGACAAAAAAACTGTAAGATTCTAACTAACCACCTTAAATAGTCTGAATTTTAGGACATGAGCTCACATAAAAAGGTAATCCCCATGTCAAGGGGTCTATGATGGGTGTTGAAAGACTTACTATCATCAGTTCTATCATTTCAGAAAGGAGGATGCCAAACCAGGCCCTAGATTAGTGGTCACGATAATATAACACTTATCCTCATAATCCCTCAGGGGCGGCAAGACATGATGGTTACCACTAGGTAAAAAATCTGAGATGCACAATCAAATTGCACATGTTTGGTTCTGAATAACAACAATCCACAGAAGCAGAAATCAACCACTAACCACAAGGATCAAGAAAGGTCTCAAAATAATCTCAACCTCATTGATAACAAGAAAATTCATGATTAGCATTCATCCATGACAATTGGTTCCTTAAACCTTCAGGATAAAGCTGACCATCCCACAACTTCCTTTGAACTTTCCAAATTTTAACAACTCACAGATGCTAAAATCAACCATTTAACCACAATGATAATAATAATCATAATAATAATAATAATAATAATAATCTCAATTTCAATTGATAACAAGACAAATTTTGATCAACATCCGTTCACAACAGTTGCCTTCAGAATAAAGCAGACACTGCCACAGCTTTCCGTTTCAAACTAATAAGTCAAAACTTAGTATATTTCCAATAAAACAGTTTGCTTGAGCACTCCTTTTAACCTTTTGGCACTTTCCGAAAGAAAGCCTTCCCAAGAAATATTGGACGTATTTGACACAGAACTCTTCTTAAATGAAAAGAAAATGCTTAATTGACAAGTAAAAATCTACAGAATCTCTCTGTCTCCAACCTTTTCAGTTACCAAATCAAATAAATAAGCTAAAACGACCACCCACTAACTGGAGTAAAAGAGCTTAGCAAACTTTCACCTCTTGACAGAGCAATGAGGATACACAGACCCACACCATTGTGATGATTAAAGTAATAGCAGCTTATTGATTGATAAACAATGACTTTCTATTGTGGTTATATAATTGTGGAAGGCTGTTAATGGTCAGATATTCATCGCACTGAGTTAAAAATGGCCTAGTCTCAATTATTTTAACTAATCAATTCATAAATGAAACTGTCCTGAAACCTGTCCAAAGCAATAGTGGAAGCAATAAAGATCCACACACAATTTACAACTTCACCTTCGCTAACATAAATCCGAGAAAACAGGCTTAATACCAACATTACACGGCACAAGCCAATGGCAATCATATAAAATGTTCCCTTGTATCTGAAGACTTCAATGAATTCAGCTGAATACATCAACAAGGAGAGCCATGCATAAAAACAAGAATCACTCCCAGATGACCAAATCAGTTAACTCCCAAAATTACGCCACAGAAAAGGTATCCCACTAAGACAAGATATCACTGAAAATTATAGCTAGGCATCCATCACATCTATTTCAGGAGTGCAAGCCACATTCATGCATTTAAACCTCCAAAAATAGTTTCTATTTTCATAATAACCAGACAATTAGTTCTACACGTCCAAAAAATCATCTTTCTAATTCTTGAGATATAAAATCAGACTAAAACCAAACGAATGTTGCTGTCTTGTGAGTGAAAACAAAAGGAAAAATATAGCATTATGAAAAAAATTACTAGAAACAGCCAAGATGAGTTCAATATCTACTCTTCGGTTGAAGATTCACCATTTTCTTGTTATGCTTCCTCGCGTACCTCTGGTTCCTCAAAAAGTTAGGATCCATCTATTTGTGCACAAAAATAAAAGAGCGAATATTGACATATATGCATCAAAATTGTAAGTGACATGAAAAATAAAATGAAAAAAAGAAGAAATCAGAGCAAAAGTTACAGACCCCTTTAGTGGACGTGTGCCGCTGCTTTTTGGGTTTCTTGATCCCGTTTTTATGAGCTTTATAAGACTGGTTATGAGCAGTGTGGTTCTTTGACTTTGCCGTTGGATCAGCAAGAAATTGCAGGCAGAGGCAGAGATTCCTCGGAGGTTGTTGGGATTAGGGGTTTTGTGTCTTTGCGTAAACGCAGAGCTACATAAAAATGGGTAAATATTTTATTTTAACCACTGAAATATACAAGTTCTGTTAGTTTTTTATTAAAAAAAAATGTTTTTTTTATTATATTTCATACATTTATTAATAAAAAAATTATAACCTTATTAACAAAACTCAAAGAAAATATGAAGTCATCCCTTCGATGTGACAACGAGTAATAAATATCAACATAATTATATACTAAGTATGATTTCATATGCATTTCTTAGAATTTTTCACAGTCGTATATTTTTATATAACCAAATTTTCTATCATATACCCATTTATTCATTTTTGGAATAAAAAAACCTCTTAGACCACCAAAATAAAAATTAGTTTTCAAAATCTAAAAAATGAAAAAATTATTTTCAAATGCATAACAAAATTTGAAAAATCAAAAAATCAAAAATAAAAAACCATAAAAAATTATTTAAAAAAAAAAACTTAAAATGTAGAAACTTGGAACATTTTACAAAATTTAAATAACCTACAAAAATTATTAAAGATAGATAGATATACCAAATGATCCCTCGTAACAATTAACATAGTAAATAAAAAAGAAGTACCAAATATTAAAATGGTAAAAATTCTATAATATTGCTTCTTGCAATCCAACCTTATTCCTTTTTCATGGAACCTATAACTAGTTTAGTTTTATAAAACTAAAGACAGATTTTTTTTTCTTGATGATACATAAGTTAGCTTTATTTATAATTTCAGTCCTAAAAAATATATAAACCTATTTACTTTCCCAAATAAACATTCATGATTTTTATTAAAATCTCTAATTTTTATAAATATTTACATATGATAAACCCAAATTTAAATGACACAAAACCCTTAATCAAGAAATGGGTCAAAGAGTTCCAAGGATCTAATGCTTTCTTAAGAATTTTTTTAGAACTTTACACCGGTTTTTTAGTATTTTATACTGATTTAATACTTATTATTTTTAATATAATATAACTTAAAATATCACTTTAATTTATATATAAAAAAAAGAGGTAAAATGACTCTTTAACTCTTTTATCTACAAAAAGACAAGATTCATGCACTATAAATACCTTATGAATCTACCAATTTAAGGTTCATAATCTCTTTATTCTCAATAGTTTTAGTATATATATTTTCAGAGTTTATCTCTCTAAAATATCATTTTAATTTCTCTATCTAAAAAAATATTTACTTAAGCATATAAGAATCCTCAAATCTACCAAAATAAATATTTTGCAGGTACTAACCATCTTAATTAGAGAGGATGAATCAGATTGCTAAAATCAAGAGATTAACCGATTATCCAACACATAAATCTTGCTCCTAAGCTACTTGGATTTTTTTTAGACATATCATTGACATTGTTTACGAGAACCTAAATAAAAAATGAATTCATTTTTGTTTCTTTAAAGCTCATTTTATAGCCAATGAAGCTCCAATATAATGGTAACCATGCCAAAAATTATGTCTACAGCTACGCTAACAACATGCCAAACATTATGCTAGAGACAACACCTATGACAACACCTGCGATGTCACCCATGACTATGTTTATAGCTATACCTATGACTACTCTCACGACTACGCTTTATGACTATGTCTCAAGGCTACGCCCATAATTTTTATGACGACTTGTACACGTCAAAAGATGTCACTGAAACTTAGGGGTTTTGATGATACACAAAAGACAAGGTCCACATACTAGGAAAGCTTTATTTACTAGGCAAGTTCCATCTACTAGTGTAATAGCATAATTCTTTAAAGGATGCAATTAGTCTCTCTGATGTAAAAGCAAAACCCTTTATTCCACCTATTAGATGAGTTCCATCTACTAGTGCAATAGAACCACTTTCTAAGGAATGAATTTAGTCTCATTAGAGCAATATCATTAATCTTTTAGGGATGAACTTGGTCTCTTTAATGTGAGAGTATTAACCTCTATGTCATCTACTAGGCAAACTCCACCTATTAAATGAGCTTTACCTACTAATACAATAGCACTACTTTTCAAGAAATCGATTTGGTCACCCTACTACAATAAAATTAGTCTTCAATTAATAGACTTGGTCTTTATATTATAGTAGCATCACTCTTATTGGGTTCATCTATAGTTCCCTTCACCCTCTTTAGGTTTTCCTAACCATTTAGAATTTTTTAAATACAAGCTCCCCCCTCTCATTAGGTTTTTCTTAGTTACTTAGAACTTGTTTAATTACTGGTTTTACCCTCAATGGCTCCTTTCAGCTTTTTAGAAGATTTTCTTATAATAAACACACATTTCTAAGGTTTTTCGAGCCACTTAAAATTTTCTCTGGATATAAGCTCTCCTATATGGGTTTCTCTACCTATCAGAAGAATTTTCTAAGTATGAAATCATTTATATGTCACCTCACTCTCCTAAAAGTTTTCTAGATATGGGTTCTTTATGGTTTCCTTTTACATATTTAGAAATTTTTTCAAACATGGTGCATACCTATATGTACGGGCTCTGTGGTGTATTACCTAAAGTTTCCACTCTTCTTCTCATATGAAGAAAAGTCGATGAAATCATTATGGTAACGAAGTATTTTTAAAAGTCTTTGCATATCAACGCCACAAAGACTTAGAGGTTTATCGATGGATCTAAATTTAGTGGGCTCAAAACCCCCTAACAATTTAAAAACAATAGCTTCAAGCGCTGCATGGATCCAATTCTTCTTTGAGAAATGTTTTAGGGCCACATGCGGGTCTCTTGGTATTTTATATTGATGTAATTATATCTATTAATTTGAGTGGAATATATATCAAAATATTATATTAATTTATAATGGTAAAATAACTCTTTGGCCCCTTCTCTCCACTGAATAACAAGACTCATAAGTTATAAATACTCTATGAATCACCAAGTTTAAGGTTTATAATCTCTTTATTTTCAATATTTTTAACTTATATGTATTCAGAGTTTATCTATTTAAAATATCATTATAATTTCTTTTTTTATAAAATAAATATTTACTTAAGTATTTAAGAGTTCTCATATCTATCAAAATGAATATTTTAATTTGCATCATAGCCAAGTGACACGACTAAAAGATTGATGTACATTTTAATTTGCATCATAGCCAAGCACTAAGAAAAAATGATTAAAAATATTTTCTTTTCATGATTTGGCATTTAATCAAAAACCATGTCTAACATTTCATAAAAGGAAAAAAAATATTTATGTTGGCATATTTTTGAAATATTTGTTGTACATATTTTTGGATTTAATAAAAAGTCCATTAAAAATTTTTCTCAAATTAAATGGCCCATTAACATACTTTAACATCAAAAACCCATCTTTTAGGAAAATAAACAATGATAATATTTTTGAATAAAAGGATCAAAGTCTATTTTTATCATTCTTGTTGGATCAAAGGCCATTTTAAAATCCAATCTAAAAACTATTTAAGGTAAATAAACCGAGAATGAGTTGTTATCTCAAATATAAAAATAATATAATTTTTGAACCTCAAACAAATTTAAAAAATTTTATTAATGTCAAAGTCGAGAATACACCAATGCTAAAATTAGAAATATCACCTGAAATATACAGTAATACTAGAATCATATTAATATTTACCAATACCAAAATTAAAAATACATTTAGGATAATTATTCATTAACAATAGAATTAGGAATATTAACGTCGTGAATATAAATATTTTTCAGCCAAATTATGAATATCAGATGTTCGCATGTAGTATTTACTAATGCTAGAGTTGAAAATATTTTTAGCTGAAGTATTCATCAATGCTAGAATCAAGAGTATTAGAGCCAGGCCACCGATAGTATAGCACAACAAACCTTCAACAATTTAAGATAAATCAGCAATACAGACTTTTTTAGATAAGATCTTTTATGACTTATAATATTTTTTTTTTAGCATAATCAATCTCGTACCATAAAATCTATATTGATCGATTAAAGTTTTCTAGTAACTATAATACGAGATGACAATGTTTGAAATAAGATTTTTCCTATAAAAAAACAAGATATCATATATATATATATATATATATATTATTTTCTTATCTTTTTGAAAGGTCATCACAGCGTCAAATAGCAACAAAAATATTTTTTTTTATTTTGTATATCAATAGTTATTAAACATATTATTTTAAAAATCACAATTCAGAATATATACGTACTAACATGTAATTAAAATTTAAGAAAACTTTAAAACATAACCAAGAAGAAAAATAATGCGAAGAATTTCTGTTAAGCTGTTCTGTCAAGCGTCAACCTCAAGCTCCGCCCTTGAGTCATGAAGTTGTCAATAACAATATGCTTGAAGTTGTCAATAACAATATGCTTGTTTTACACAGGGCTGTTTGTCACTCCTCTAGACTTGTAATGGAAATAGTAAACCAAACAAAACTGGAAATGTAATAATTCATTTTTCTATATGTTTGATCCGGTCAGAAGTTGGGATCCAATTGCCGTAGTTTCCAGCTCACAGAAGTTCTGATTTTCTCTGCAGCAGCTGAGTAAAATAATCGCACAGACATCAGAATGGACATAGATCTTTTAAAGCTCTTACCTATGGGCTAGAAAAACATTTGGGTCACAGATCACAATGGCTACTTCAAAGAATCCAGCAGAAAGCTGGAGAAATTTATTGGAGTGATGTAGTTTTCTGCTGGTACTTTAATTGCTTGCTTTGAAGTTTGAATTCTTCTTCGTCTTCTTTTTTCTTTTTTGTCACAATCTTTCTTCTATTTTACACTTTAACTGTTGTCTTCTCCCCCAACTCGGTCCACCATATAACAAACAGAGATATTTGGTTGTTGACTCGTCACCGGCCATTACTGTGACATGTTGGACGTATTATATATCTGTTTTGCCTGACCAGTTTGTCACGTTCCCAATTAATAGGTTTACGTTTACGATACAACTACAAAACAAACACCGGTGATAGACTTCCCTGGCCTGGGCGGCTGGTGGGTGAA